GACGATAATCAAATTTATTATTCGTTTTATCCACATCAGCTTTCAAATACAGCTGCCTTAATTAATGAAGATCTGCATCGCATATCTGAATGGTCAAGTAACAACTCTCTTATTCTAAATCCATCTAAAACTGTAGGAATGCTAATCGGTAAGAAACATTTGCTTGGGGGAATTAGTTCTTCACTAACTGATGTACATATTGATAGCAACGTAATAAACTTTAAAACCGTTCACAAAAACTTGGGTCTGATACTGGACGAAAATCTGACTTTCACCCCGCATGTAAGTAAGTTGATACAATCCGCGTATGGTCGGCTTCGTTGTCTTTATAAATATAAAAATATTCTTTCACTTTCTGTCAAACGTAAACTTGTTAATTCCCTTGTGTTGTCCCTATTTGATTATTGTGATGTTGTGTATGGTCCTTGTTTAAAAAATTCAGACTCGTACAGAATCCAAAAAGTTCAAAACGCATGCGTACGTTATGTAAGTAACGTAAATAGGCAAGAACATATCACACCCCATCTCAAGCAATTGAATCTTTACCGAATGAACGATAGGAGGACTATACCTACACTATTTGTGTTTAATTCACAAAATTATAAGATCGGGCGTGCCCCCATACTTACAGTCCAAAATACGTTTTCGGAAAGATTTACATGATCGTCAACTCAGAAATACAAACTATATTCAAATACCTGCACATCGATTGCAAAGCTACAAATCTTCGTTTACCTACATGTCTGCATGTTTGTACAATAGGCTGCCTGATGAATACAAATCATTGAATATCTATCAATTTAGACGCACAGTAAAAAGTATTATTTACAATGAATAATAATTAGACCTTTAAGTATAGCAAGTTTCTGTTACCTAATCTTTCTATATGTATTCTTCTATATACTTCTTTTAGATATGTACACACGTGGAGAAATTTTGTCATTTTTGTCAATCTGTCGTCTTCTTCTAAGATTTCATTTATTTTCTTTTCATGTAGTCTCGTACAACTCAAGTTATTGAAATAGTATACCTTTTTTTTAATGTTTGTTATTTTCAATCAGTATTTTCGAGAAAATTGTAATTCTGCTGGTTGGGAAAAACAGCTTACAGCTGGTCTCCGCCAGGATAATAAATAATTAGCAACAAGGAACCTGACCCCGAAGCATTTAAACAAGATCTCAGAAGGTTAATCACAATTCTTGTTACCAGAGGGACTAATCTTGATAAGATCATCAAAAAAGCAAAAGAGGAAGCGAAAGAACCCATTAGAGCCCTAAAAGCAAAGTATAACATCAAAGCTCCCGGATCCAAGCTGAACAACTACACCAATAAAGTATTATTATTATTATTATTTGATTTTCTCGGTCTTGCCGGTTCTAATCCTAGCCAAACGGACTATTGTCAAGTCTGGCTAGTTATTTCTGAGGAAAGTTCTCGTGATGCTGCAGGTTTTGAGTATGACTGCCTTCTGAATGTGATGATGAGTGTATGTATCTAGATCAAGTTGTTGTAAATGTTGTTTAAATGTTTTGTGTGTGATTCCTGTTGTTGATATTATGAATGGTATTATATGTACTGGCTTTTGCCTCCATATTCTCTCTACTTCTATTGCTAGTTCTGTATATTTTTCAATTTTGTCTGCGTATTTCTTTACTGTATTTACATCTATTGGTATGGCAACGTCTATCAGGTAGGTAATATTTTGATTTTTATCCTGTAATGTTATGTCTGGTCTATTACATATTACAGTTTTATCTGTGTGAATTGTGATATCGTAGTATAGTTTGTAATTAATGTTTTCAAGTATGGTGATTGGTGTAATAATTAATAATTATTAATGAATTGTGATATCGTAGTATAGTTTGTAATTAATGTTTTCAAGTATGGTGATTGGTGTAATAATTAATAATTATTAATGTAATAATAATAATTATTATTATTATTGTATTTT